CAGGATTTGGCGAATTATTTGTGCATCGTAACGTAGCAAATCAATTCAAACCCGATGACACCAATTGCATGTCAGTGTTAGAATATGCTGTCAAAGTTCTGAAAGTTTCTCACATTGTTGTTTGTGGTAAATAAACAAATAATAAAAAATTTTAGTTTAAAATATCATTCGATTCTACTTTTAAATAATGAAAATGACAAATAAATAAAATCTTTTTTTATCCATCTTTAGGTCATACAGGTTGTGGTGGGGCCAACAATTGTTTTAATCAAGAACTTGATCCTAATCTAATAAAATGGTTGGAAGGAATACGTGAATTGGAGGCGGTAAACTGAGAATTCTCTCTCCCTAATCCACAATTCGGAAGTGACGAAGTTCAACATAAATTGGTCAAAGCTAATGTTGTGAAACAAGTGGAAAAAATTAGTGAAAATCATCTCGTTAAATCTGCTAAACATAAAATACAAGTTCATGGATTTGTTTTTGATTTAAAAGATGGCTTATTAGAAGATTTGAAGGTTAATGCTGCAGCATAAACATAGATATATCTGAAATAAATAAAAACACAAACAATAATAATTGTTTTTTTTTTTTAACATATGATTTTTCTTGTTATTTTAAGATTCTATTTTTTTTCTTTTTAAAGTTCACCAAATCATAACAATATCATTCATTTTACAAGAAAACATTGCGAAATCCTATCTTCATCTAAAAAATACTATAATAATAATAAAAATGTGATATTATATTGACGATAAATCATTTAAATTTAATCAGGAATGCAAAATAATATTTTCTAAAAAAAAAAATAAAATAAAAGAAAAAATGAAATCAGTTAAAGCAATAAATTATTTTTGTAAGTGTGATCATTGTTTATAATTAATTGAATCAAGAGCTAAAACGAATCTATTTTATAATTTTAGTGGTTCAAAAAAATAATAAAAATTTCCCAACTTCCCAACAACAAAAACTAATTGTAAATTCAATTTTTTCATCGATTTTCCATAATCGTAAATTTCACTTGAAAACTAATGATAATCGTAATAAAAAATATGATGATTTGATTTTTCCATCAAATAAATTTATTATAAATGATCATGCAATTGATAAAAAATATATCACTTCTTTGGGGAAAACTCAAGGTAAAAAATAAACAAAAATAGAGAAATTTTAATCGAGAATTTAATATGTTCCTTTGTTCATTTATTTGTTTGTGATTTCTTATTAGGTCGCTTAGTTATTCTTGGTAAGGTTATATATATACATACATATAAAGAAATCAATCTTTAATTTCTTTAAAATTTTTGGTATTTATCACAAAATTCTTTAATTTTTAAAGGATCGGGATGGGCAGGTAAAAATGTTTTCTTAATTTCCTTTTGATATCTTTACTTTCTAAAATTTTTATATTATCCATTGTTGTTATAGGATATAAATTACTCAGAGATATAGATACGAAGCATCACGAAGTAATAGTTATTTCTCCAAGGTAATACATAAAAAAAATTCCAATTCCCCGTCCTTAATTACTAATTTGTATTTTATTTATAAATTAAATTTTAGAAATTATTTTGTTTTGTAAGTAAATTTTTTATCTTCATTTGATTTTATGAACTATATAATTTACATTATTCATAAATACACAAACACACATATACAGCACACCATTACTTGCTTCATCATCGGTTGGAACTTTGGAATTTAGATGCATAATGGAACCTATAAGAAGATATTCACCCAAGGTACAATATTATCAAGCTTACGCTGACCGTGTTGGTATGTTAATAATTAATTAAATATTCAGTTTTTATTTTTTTAAAAAAAAAAAAATACACATACAAATATATATTATATATTAAACAAAACAAAACAACTATTTTAGATTTAAAGGAACAAATACTTTACTGTACTTCAAATCTTGAACGTAACACAGAAAAATTCAAGCTTGAATATGACACATTGATAATAGCTGTTGGTGCAAATTCAAATACATTTGGTATACCTGGTGTCGGCGAATACGCCTTATTCTTAAAAGATGTGTCCGATGCTCGTAGAATACGTCAACGTGTCATTGAATGTTTCGAACATGCAAGTCAACCAATGGTTAATGAAGAAGAAGCTTTTGGTTTATTGCATTTTGCTATTGTTGGCGGTGGTCCTACCGGTATAGAATTCAGTGCCGAGTTACACGATTTCATCACAGAAGATATGGCAAGACTTTATCCCAGTTTAATAAATTCGGTTACAATGACAGTCTACGACGTTGCACCACAAATCCTTGGGTCTTTTGATCAATCACTTAGAGACTACGCAACAAAAAAGTTTACGAGAAAAGGTATAAAAATTAGAACCGGTCGTAAAGTATTGGAAGTTAAACAACGTCACATGGTCATAAATGAAGATGGTGAAGTTCCTTATGGAATGCTAGTCTGGGCTACTGGTTAGTAGTGTTGATAAGTGATTTGATTGGTGGTGGTGATATAATTGATCAGTTGGCGGTGATAAATAATTGGTTGGTTGGTAATTAATTCTTAGGAATATCCTATCAATCAATCTATCAACCTATCTTTTAAATATAAACAATACAGGAATCACTGAAAATCCTTTGACACGATCAATGTCTGATCAGGTGATGAAAGATGGTTCGGCAAAACGGTTATTAACTGATGAATTTTTAAGGGTATTGGATAAAGAATCCAGCTATCCATTTGATAACGTGTAATTCATCTATATTCGATTTTTTTGTATTCTTTTATTTAATCATTTACTCATTTGCTCACTTGCTCACTTGCTCGCTCACTCACTTTTTTAGTTTTGCTCTCGGTGATTGTGCATCCATTAAAGATTATGATTTACCTGCAACTGCTCAAGTTGCGAATCAAAAGGCTCTTTATTTACGAAAAAGTAAATTTTTTACTAATGTTAAATGTGTATATGTGATTCAATGCATAGTTTCAATCGTTTTAATTATTATTTTTTTCTTAATAATAATATAGCTTTAACACAAGTTGCCAAAAATAGTGGATCACTTATTGGAGTTAAACCTTTTAAATTTACAAATTTTGGCAGTATGGCATATATTGGTAAAAAAGAAGGTAATCCAAGATTTGTGTAAAATTGGAATTTGAAAGTATTGATTAGAATATATTAAAAGAAACTCTCATTTTTTCATTACCATTAAAAAAATAAAAATAAAATAGCTCTTGTTGATATGACAACTGTATCTAAACAAATTAAAGAAAGTGGTTTTCTTGCATGGATTTTTTGGAGATCTTCATATCTTACAATGACGGTTTCTTTACGAAATAAAATGTTAATGTAAGTAGTAGTAGTAGTATTATTAATCAAAAAAATTTAATAATACACAAATTGTGCAACTAAATTTATTTTTTATTATTATCATCATTTTCCCTGCCGTTAAAAATAGTCCCATGTATTGGTAAGTAGCAAAAATAAAACTTCATTCCTTTTTTTTTTTGTTTAAAAAATTTAATTATTTTGGTTGATAAACATAATTTTTAGGTTAATAACAATAATATTTGGAAGAGATATTAGTCGTTTTTAATATTCATTAATTGGATGACAGTGTGAAGACCAAAGGGATTAAAGTTGCTGTGAAATAATCAATGGAATGAAAAAAGATGATTGATAACAATTATATATATTTATATATATTGATTTAATATTAATAATAAAAATTTAAATCGATATTAATTTTGATACCATACTATTAAAAAATTTTTGAAATTGCAATATATCAATTTGAAGTTATATATACTTTTAAAAAATTTCCATAGCGAATAGAAATGTTAGTCGTATACTATTACGCAAACACGTTGCCTGATGCAGCAAGTTACTGACCTTTTCTGCATGGTGAGTTGATGTTCACACCATAAAGATTTTTAATAATAACGGCAAAAATCATTATATCAATACTGCCAGCAAAACCACAATAATTGGAGTTATATACTTCATATCATATCCTGATCTAATATTAACGAGTTTTGCGATTTAGTTTTTTATCAAAGATAGTAGGGATATTGATTTAATGAGTTATAGTAATTATACGATTTATATGAGATTTTTAATACTATGTAAAAAGGCAATTCATTCATTTTTCGCGCAGTTATTGTATGAATGATATGAAATATTAGCCATTGACTCTTCTATCATATTCTGTAATCGACTATAAGGGTTTAAACGAAGATGAGTGAATACATCGATCGATATATGGGAAAATATGCATATGCTTTACGGACAAAAGTTTCAAAATTATGTACGCAAAAAAAAAAAAAATTACAGCCTATCAATTGCCCAAAACTTACATAATAGCACACCCGAAGTTCTGGCAAATAATAACTTGAGTTCTGGCACAAGACGACATATATTTTTACATTTTTGTTGTTTACTTTTTTAAAAAATTAATAGCATTTTAAGCTAAAATTGAATCTGAACGTGGACAAATAATCGACAGTAATACTATTTCGCACAAATCATGACATGACAAATAGGAAATTTCTTTTTTCTTTATTGTATAAATGTTTACATTTTCCATATATTGATATAAACCTTCATTCTCGATATTTTTTTTTCTCAAATCATCTTCCTAAACAAAAGAAATACAAAACAACTATAAATGAGTTATAAAGCTTACTCAAATTACGAACATCCTCAACCTCCACCTCCGGAATACCCAACACAATATCCGCCACCGCCACCTCCAGAATCTAATAGTTATTACAAAAGTGATGCCAGTAAACAATTCTTATTATCAAAACTATGAAAGTCATCCTGTAAAACAAAGTTCGGCGGGTGAAAAATGGAATACAAAACCAAAATATCAAGGTAAGCATCATTTCATTATTGTTGATTAAACGAAACATATATGACAGATTTATGAGCTACAATATTATTTTTAATACACTTTGGTGCTTACGTTGTTTCGGTTAGAAAGAGTTGGCAGATACAAGAACTATTGAAACTTCTGGACTCTTAATACTAATACAAAAAATATTAAAACCAATTGTTTGTAGCGCGTTAATCGGATTTGCTTTATCACTTGTTTATATGGTGTTTATACAACAAATTTCCAAAATTTTTAATTAAAGTTACTTTATGGCTTTCAATTGCTTTATATTTCCTTGCTTACTATTTTCTAGCATATTAATATTAATATGTAAATTTTATTGCCACACATTTAGTCGAAACATTGTGAAATGTCGATCTTTCCTAACAAAATTAGTAAAAAAAATTTTTTTTTCTGCATCCAAAAAATAATAAATAAAAATAAATAAATCAAAATGGGTCGTATGCATGCACCTGGTAAAGGTATAGCTAGTTCAGCTTTACCATATCGTCGTACACCGCCTTCTTGGTTGAAAACTACTCCCGATGATGTGTGTGAACAAATTTTTAAACTTGCAAAAAAGGGCATGACACCTTCACAAATTGGTGTTGTACTTCGTGACTCTCATGGTATTGCTCAAGTTAAAAATGTTACAGGAAATAAAATACTTCGTATCTTAAAATCAAATGGTTGGTAATTAATTAATATTGAGATGATTTGGCTATTTATAATTTTTATATGTATATATGTATATGTAATGTTACTATTATTATTAATAATATGTAGGATTGGCACCAGAAATTCCAGAGGATTTATATCATTTGATTAAAAAGGCAGTTGCAGTTCGTAAACATTTAGAACGTAATCGTAAGGACAAAGATGCCAAATTTCGTTTAATTCTTATTGAATCAAGGATTCACCGTCTCTCCAGATATTATAAACTTGCTGGTCAACTTCCTCCAAATTGGAAATAGTATCCTTATGATTTTATTGATAATAATTTATTTTGGCTCTTATTTTGTTTTGATAATTGATTGATTATGTTAGACCTTATAGTCGATTACAGAATATGATAGAAGAGTCAATGGCTAATATTTCATATCATTCATACAATAACTGCGCGAAAAATGAATGAATTGCCTTTTTACATAGTATTAAAAATCTCATATAAATCGTATAATTACTATAACTCATTAAATCAATATCCCTACTATCTTTGATAAAAAACTAAATCGCAAAACTCGTTAATATTAGATCAGGATATGATATGAAGTATATAACTCCAATTATTGTGGTTTTGCTGGCAGTATTGATATAATGATTTTTGCCGTTATTATTAAAAATCTTTATGGTGTGAACATCAACTCACCATGCAGAAAAGGTCAGTAACTTGCTGCATCAGGCAACGTGTTTGCGTAATAGTATACGACTAACATTTCTATTCGCTATGGAAATTTTTTAAAAGTATATATAACTTCAAATTGATATATTGCAATTTCAAAAATTTTTTAATAGTATGGTATCAAAATTAATATCGATTTAAATTTTTATTATTAATATTAAATCAATATATATAAATATATATAATTGTTATCAATCATCTTTTTTCATTCCATTGATTATTTCACAGCAACTTTAATCCCTTTGGTCTTCACACTGTCATCCAATTAATGAATATTAAAAACGACT